CCGCTGCAGAATGGGGCTGTCACACCGCAGCCTCCACACCTGGCATCTTCCCCCACCCCCCCTCCCCCGCCCGTCTGTTGCAGCCTCTGAGTCCTCCTGAAGCCAGAAAGATTTTATTTTGGGGGCTGGAGGGAAGAAAGAAATAAACTCGCAGTCGACTTCCCCTCGCAGATGCCTAGGTTTGCTGGTCCCCGCTGCAGAAAGGGCAAGTCTTTAGGGAGCTTGAACTGATCTTCCAGCTCCCTGGAGCCCTCTCTAGCCCCGCTGATGGCAGTCTGTAGCCATGAGGTTATAAACTGGGGGGTCATATGCAAATCGTTGACCTGTTTTGAATAGTTGATTGGGTTAGTTCAAATAAAAGCAAGCCAGAGCTTGGCTAAGCCTTTTGTTGTAGCTAAGATGATTTGCTTACAATGCTCTTATCTAATGCAACTTCTTATTCCCATATTGTGCTCACTGCTATTTCCACCCCCAAAGAGACACGCATTGACTAAATTTGGCAGGTATTTTTAAAGCAGACCTTGGCAGCCATTGTACTGTGCAGTCCACTGGGAAGAATATGCCTGCCAGAAATGGAAGCAGAGGTCCTGGCCTGGCTGCATCAAAAAAGAATGCATTAAAATCTACAGACTGTGTCTCCTGCCATCTAAACGTTTCCATGTTATATTGCGGGTAGTACTGGCCTGCTGGTTTCAGGGATACATTCAAGGGTATCTGCAGCTAGTCACCCCTTTTTCTGGGGGCATAGAAGGGCCCAGAATTGAGCCTGTCATGTTGATGATGATAACAGGTAGAATGTTTGTGTTTCTTTGGAAGGCACACGCAAGCTCAGCTTCTGCTTTAAAAAATATTAATAAAAGTTAGGTATACTAACGAAACAAGCATGTAGCAGCAGTATACTGAGACAGCCCTTGGATTCATAAGCTAAGGCAAAAAAAAAAAAAAAGCCAGGATGAAGAATGTGCGAAGTAGGATATGAAGACTTATCTAATCAGAAGACAAATGGTGAGCCTCTGGAGTTCAGCAGAGCACCCAGACTAACAACACGTACCTGTGAAAGTGAGTGTAAAAATGCTTCCTACTGATTTGGTAGGTGTTTTTGCACACATTTTGCTTGTGTGTAAATAATTATGCAGGCACTACAGCTGTGGCAGATTAGGTGTATAAGGGGCCAGATCTCATTCTCATTAAAGCTGGTGACAAATGCTGCATTTCTTCATCACAGACAGAAAATCCTAGTCCCTGCCTGAAAAGGCTAACATCCAGATATCTCAAACCTGCAGCAAGCTCTGTATAGATGCATCTGCCTGCTAGTGCAGGCAGAACTGACATCAACAGGTGCAGAGTCCATCTGAAGGGTCTACCAATCTTCACTTCTCACTGATTAAATCAGGGTGACACAAGAAAGCAGTTCTGTCTTCAAATACATAATGCAATTTCCTTCAAGTCAGTCAAAGAAAAGGGAATGCCTCTGCATCTGAGTGCAAAACTGAATATGGAATAG